AATCTTACAACGCCTGAGTTTTAACTCTTCAATGTACCATCTCCCCAAGCTCTTCTAAGGTAATGTTGCTTCACCTCATCAAAATCTGATGTATCTACCCCTGATGCATCTTTCTTGAATGCTCCAAACGGATTAGTTGCTTTCTTCAGGGATTTTAGATTGTGCATTGTGTGGAAAGAAAACGGGTCCATCTGACCTATGTAAATCTGGACTGAACTCCTTCTTTAGTCAGAAAACCAGCTCAGTGAGTGACTTGGTGTCTATCAATTTTAACAGAACAAAGCTACGCACCAGAAACAAAATTTTGCCAATCCAAGTGTCCTTTTTGGAGGGAAAACCTGTATAAGAATGAAATGTAGATCTTGTGGTACTTCAACTCTGACTTAATCAGACCACATCAGTTTCCCTAAGTAACCTCTGGATAAAGAGTCTGTGTCATTTCCTTTTGAGGTTACATGTTTCACAGTTATATCACAGGCCAATACAGTAGGTAGTCTCTGTATATGTTTCCATTCCTCATTCACCCACTCATCTTTAGACTTCCACTTTTTGACGGTTGGCTGAGATGTTGTGTTATCTGTCCAAACTTCAAACCTCTTCCCTATTACAGGATCTCATTCTCAGTCTCTCTTTTTCCAGGAATGACACAGTTGACTAAAGAAACTCACCTGCAACATGCACCAATTTACTCGATACTACCAGACCAAGTCTGATTGAAACCGTCTCCGCCCAAGCAATTGAACACTTGCTCTCAGTCAAACTTAACACTTCCAAGCCTTGTGTGAACTCAAAACATGCCCACTGATTTCCAATTAGTACACCTATCCCAAACAAAGACAAAGCATCTCCTACCCACACAATTTCAGATGTTTTTGGTGAAGGTATCAGTGCGTGTGAATCAAATTTATGTAAACATCTCCTCTGCTCTTCTAAATCCCTTCTCACATAATCTGGTATGTGTCTCAAAGCTGCTGTATTGCCCCATTTTTTGGCCACTTGTATTCATATGAGGTACTATATAAACTGTGAAACTGTGTGCACCAGTTTCCCAATCAAACTTTTGATCTTGTGGAACGCCCAAGGAGTAGTGAATCTCAGTAACTCCTCATTCAATTGTTTACTCTCTCTCAATCTCTCTTCTGGTAATCTGACTGTATGTTCTTTCCCATTCCAGATGAATCCTACACAACATTGCTCCATTGCAAACCCATGATTTCTTGATGAGTTTGTTTCTACTCCTAGACTATTGCTTAATCTGATAATGTCAACTAAAGATGATAAATCTCCTGGTCTTCTAAATATTAAATTATTGTTGACCCATCAAAAGATTTTCTTCACGTCTAACAGACCTTGTATCAAGATTTTCCAAACATGAGCTGGAGCCCCAAAAACTCCACAGCTTGCAACTCCTCTGAACCCTACCGCCAAGTCAACCCACACACGTCCTTGGAAATCCAATATACAAAGGAATAGTCTCTGACTTGGGTGTAGCCCCAGCTGGAAATATGCTTTATTACAATCAAAGATTTCTATCTCCCATTCTCCCAGGTTTTCTTGGAAAAAAATTGCCACTTTGTTGAAGTCATCCCAGTAGGGTTTGTAGTTCAACTTGTTCACAAATGAATTTACTGACAGCAAAAATTCTTCATTCTTTGGAAACAGCAGATCATTGACCATTCTGGTTGATTCAACTCCATTTACAGCACTCCCCATCGGATTTCAATGAAAGAATCCAAATCAGTTCTTTCTTTAAAGTGATTTCTATCTGGTCTTTTGCTAGAGATGCTGATCTATCATTTTCTGGGGTGTACCAAGGTAAAGCGGCAGTTTCATGCCGAGGTGTTCCTATCCAGAATTCATATTCGGAACCATTCTTAATATATGGTATATCTGTATCCAAGCCCACCTCTTTCATTAAGACTGCCCATTCTTCAATTACCATCTCACATGAAACCGGACCTGGCCAGACGTTCTGGACTGGGACCGCAAAAATCTTTTGTTGCCAGAATGGGATGGGTTTGTTGTGTCTTCTCACTTCAATCTCCTGCTCTGAATCATTGGAAATTGACCTGCTCAACAACTGCTCTCAAACTTTGATCCTAGCTTCAACTGCTTCCCGCAACTCCTCTTGGTTATTTTCTTGGATCACGCTTTCCCCAGCTAGCTCTACCTCTCTGTTTCTACTTAAAGGAGTAAAAAAACAATATAGCATATTTTTAGAATTTTACCACACTTCCAACAAACAATAACTCCTATCTACATATTACTTTTTACCACAACAAGAGATTTGATCCAAATTGAAAATAAAGAAAAAAGGAGGGAATTGAGTGGAACAATTCCACCACAAGACAATTTTTTTGCATATGATACACGTATCTGGTTTCAGCACATGGTAAGTAGGGATTCTGGCAATACTTTATCTCTGGAAAGCTTCTCTGAAGAGAAAATTAATCTTTATGCCTACGTAGTTTGAGTCTCTGTACTACTTGGTTTCTGCCCTGCCACAATTGGCCTGATTTAGCATTCTTTTGATGAAAATATGGTTTGGTCACTTACTCTGGAAACAAAAAAGTGTTCTGTGCCTCCACTACAAGAAATGAATAGGAATCCATGAGTACAAACAAAACAACTGATTTGGTCAGTCATCTCATATGTCACTTACCTGATTGTGTATCATTAATGTTCCTGGTATTACGGTTATAGTGATGGCTTTGCTGATAATTATTTTTCTTATGATAGAATTTCTTATTATTACCATTTCCGCATTTACCACAGGATCCAGTATCATTCTTCTCAGTCTCAACTGAAGCCAACGCATTGACTCCTATGGATTGTCAACCTGTGGAAAAGTTGAAGTTGAACTTTGGGCCACCAGGAGCGTACGGATTATCTAAGTATTGTAAATCTCCTGCTCTGTCTGCCTCAAACCAAGCTGTATTGCCCACCAAAGATCATACACCATTTGGTATCTTCACCACATCAATCAACACCATCTTCCCTTTGACTTTAAACTTCACTAACTTTCTTTGTCTAAAAATGACTGTGCTGACTTTTAAATGATAACAAAGACCAATCATGCAACAATTATACAATTTATTCAATTATGTCACTATTGATTTATGTTTCACTACATAGTCTGTGTAGGGATCTAAACCATATATTTCTCTAGTGTAATGTTCCTCTAGATTGCACATATTGATGAAGTCTCCATACGTAAGTTGCTTCTCTAACAGCTTTAAGGAAGTTTTTGATATATCTGATTTATCCTTGACTTTCTGATCAAAATCTTCATCATGATAGCTTTCCAACAAGGAAGTTCTAAGAAGTATTAGAGGTATGTCTGCTGTCAACTTTCTAAACCCCTTATCCCAATTATCAGGTAATTCAGGTAGTTTGGCCAATTGAAAATCAGTTATAGCATGATCTAATTCAGCTTTTTCTATTTCAGAAGAACCATCCAAGCTCTCATCCTCCAATAGAGTATCATCTGACAACAATGACAATGAATCTGACGGTGGTTCAGAATCTGATGACCTCTTCTTCTCTGAAGCTGATTGTTTCTTCCTCTTCTTTGTTTTCAGTTTAGGCACTTCTGACATTTCCAAGGACAAATGTACCTCTGTCTTTTTCTTCTTGGGTTCTGGATTGTCCTCTTCATCAGAGGAGGAGGAAAGAGGTTCTTTTGAATTTTCTTACCCCTTCTCTTTCACAATCTTTTTCTTTTTCTTCATAAGTATCTCTTTAACTATAGCCTCTTGTTCTGTCATTGGAGCCTGTCCTTCAACAGGATTTTGTTGCCCCAAGATTTGTGCTAACAACTGACTTGATTGGTTACTTTTGATGTAGACTTTATTGCTAGAACTCTATTGCTGGTTACAGGGGATTTATTTTTGTCTTATTCCATCAAGGCTATTGCACCAAAGGTTGAGTTGAACTCATCAATAAGCCTTTCAGCTTCTCAAGCATTTTTGGTATCCAAAGTGTTGGTTAAAGCTGCCAGCAATGCTTTGCTCACTGACTTTTCTCCTTTATCACATGGCTCTTGAAGAGCTATCATAATAAAGAAAGAAGGACAACATCCAAGAACCAGACACATAAGTATCTGTCCCTTCAAACTGTCTGGATGATGACTAAGAATCAATCCTTTCAAGCTTCCAAAGCAGCTACCTTCAACAGGATGAGCTCAACTACAATTTGTTATCTGCTTGTTTTCAGAAATATGCCATTTGTTGAAGCCATTTTTTATCGTGTATTAATTTACCTCTTTGAATCTTGTTCATTTGATTACTAAAATTAGAAAACTTGTGAAACTTAATTGATTGAATTGACTGAAAGGCAGACTGGATCTTTAATATGCTAAAACTTTATTTTCAAATGCTAATAGCTAAGGGACAGATGAGAAAATCAAGAATAAGGATTTTCAAGATGAGAGAGAAAAGGTGGGAAGAATTATTGGGTGGAGAGTAGAGGAAAAAAATCCTCTCTGTGGAACCACTCCCTGTTCCCCTGAATTCTGCCCCCAAATCATTTCTTGGGATTTCTCTCTACACTTGTCTACATGTCCACCCTCAGCAATGGACTACAGATTTAATCTCTCATTTATTGGACACTTGTTTTGACCTCCAAAAGAAACTTGCTTATCCTTTCTCCTGTAGTTTTGAATCTGGTCTCAGAAGCTACTCTGACCAAACACCAAAGAACCTGTCCATTTGATCAATGCACTAATTTATACAGATAGATATCAGCTCCAAATTTTGACATTCACTAACATGTCCCATTGTATGCAAAATCAAGATATTTGGATTGATATGAAAATATAGAATACAATCTAGATTTAATATCTTTAGTCAGCAGTTGAATTAAATTTATTCTAGAGAGGTATATGTACCTAATTTTGTCACCAAGTAATATGGACCAAGATGGTAGATATGTTGGACCATGTGATCACCAATTTTATCAGAATACAAAACGGAATCAAGCTTACCCGAAAGCTTGCGTTAGCCTTAATAGCTCAGTGGTAGAGCGTTCCACTCGTACATACGGAAATGGAAAGGGCGGGTGTTCAATCCACCTTTGAGGCAAAAAAATTTTTGCTCGAGGAGGCGTGTTTCCCTACCAGAGTTTCGTGCTCGCCCAAAGCACTACTTTACGTCATGTTGTTGGCAAAGAAGCATGTTTTGAGATAAAAGAAGTTGTGCAAGTTTGATATATTGGTTAGCAAACGACAAAGGATGAAGGGCACAAAGAACTTCGAGCTTCAAGTACAAATGTGTTTGTCGCAAGCGTGTCTTGTTACGAAGTTTGATATATGACGTCGTATCTCTGGCTGGGTTTATATAAGCGATTCGGTTGTACTCCAAGATTGGAAGAAGGGTCGCTTTTTTTTGTCTTCTTCAACGTGTAGCCAGTTGATGCCATGAGCAAAATGTTACAATTACATTGAAAACAACTCAAATTGACAACGCGCTATCCGATCAAGCTGACACTCAGTCTCCGGAAAAACTGTGATCTGCAGCCCATAAAGTGAATGTACAGGAAAAGATCCAGTATGTCCTTGTATAACTAGTAATGCCCTGATATGATGATACGATCAGCAATAACAACTTGGGCTACCCTCTAGAAAGGAATGTTTAAAAAGCTCGCTTACATCTGGACTCAGCGAGTGTATCTGCTTAAAGTCAACTTGAATTCATACTCTAAACATTTGATCAAACAGCTGAGAACCTGTGTCGAGACTGGACATAACTTCATATATATGGCACAAGTTCCTTGAAACCAAGACCGTCAAGTTGTACAGGTGATTCATATGTCCTTCGAATAGCATGTCGTCATAGCGAAGTCAGACTCACCCGAGAGATTTGTGAAGGTCATAAATTGTATACATTTCTTTGTTATGTTCATCAGGATGTAGATTTAACAAAGAGATTCGAAAACTTTACAGAGTGGAAGATCAAAGCGGATAATCTTTGACATGAAAACTTTTAAGTCGAACAAATTGTTCAAACCCAAACTTGCTAAGAGTGACCCCTCTACCAGAGTTTTTCCAGCCAGTCCATGCAAGATCAGGGGAAGGGTAATCGCAGCGGTTAACAAATACAGTACCAGCTTCGATTTGTTCAGCTAAAGCCTCAGCCAATTTCACATCCTTTGACCATAAGCTAGCTGTGAGTCCGAATTCACTATCGTTCATCAGTTTGATCGCTTGAGCATCATCAGTCACTGACATGACAGGGATGACCGGACCAAAGGTTTCTTCGCGCATTACTCGCATGTCATGCGTCACCCCGGTCAGAAGAGTTGGCTTCACAAAGTTACCATCAGCGGGTGTCGTCGTGAAGGTGGCGTTCTCGGGCGTGAGATCAGATGCACCGGACGCCAAGGCTTCGCTGATATGAGCCTCAATCGTCTTCTTACTTTGCCGACTAATCACAGGACCAAGCTGAGTGGATGGGTCGAAAGGGTCACCTAATTTGTATTTGCTCAAAACCGCCTGAACTGCCTCCACAAAGGGTTTGTAGATATCGGAGTGTACATAGACTCTTTCGATTGAGCAACAGGATTGACCGGAATTGAAGATAGCGCCGTCAACAATTTCTTCAGCGGCCCAGTGCACATCGGCGTCGGATCGGACGTATGCTGGGTCTTTACCGCCAAGCTCTAGCCCGATGGGAACAATACGAGATGCAGCAGAAGCTTGAATGGCTAGTCCTCCAGCTAACGATCCAGTGAAACAGATTAATTTTACCAGCGGTGACTTCACTATAGCCTCAATGGGTTCGATCGAGCCCGCGTGAAAAAAGGTGATAACATCCGGTGGTAAACCAGCCTCAAGAAAAACCGCTTGAATGTGCTCAGAGATAGTAGGAGTCTGAGGGGACGCCTTGAGAATAACGCTATTGCCTGCCAGGATTGCGGGGATGAGAGCATTGACGAGAATGAGATAGGGATACTACTGTCCAAAATTTCACAAGTAGTCACTCATGTATCAGTGATGTTTCAATTGTACGTATAGGCCCCATCTTACAACGCACATTCCAGGCAAACACGATCAATACCGGACCGATTGGTTCTTTTCGTATATATCTTCGAAATCCAGATTCAGGTTCACCAGGCGTATCCGCAAGTGCATCCTGACTTATTCGAACTAGATATTCACCACGAATGATGGCAGTAGCAACCTCCTTAGCGGTGTAAGCTATTGGGCGACCCATTTGTTCTGTAAGATCATGCGCAAGTTTATCTTTCCTGTCCGATAGAAGTGAGAGTGATTTAGTTACGACTGCTTGGCGTTGACTGAGGAGAGGATGAGTTTGACGAAAGGATCTGAAGGCGTCTGTCGAGGTTTGAGGTATGACAGCAAGCTCTGTGGGACTTGGCCCAAGACGCTCAAGTACAGGTTTGTTTGTCAAGGGTGAGATGGTGATGATACGTTCAGACATGGTGGCTATAAGTTCTTGAAGTACTGGATGATGAAAAGTAAATAGCTTTTATGAGTTATTCATGGACCTTCAAAGTTAAAGCAGCTGATAAGTTGCAACACCTTTCGTCATCTTACATACAAAGTGTTGAGAATATCCGGTACCTCGAGTCTTGCGGATACTCTCAAACTACGTCTACTTCGGTCCGTCTACTTCGATGGTTTGAAATGCGTCCTCTTCGTTTAGAAAGTGATACTGAACGGTCATCGACCAATATTCGCTATGCAAGCGTCATCATCATCAGCTGCAGAAAAACATCGCAGCAGGAAGTTGAGTTCTTTGTCCAATCACTCTCGCAATTCTTCTGATCTGATATCGAACTCCCACTACGGAATCCTAGCTTTTACGGTCGCACACCACCCAAGCTTCCCCAGAGCAGGACGGAAATCGAGATTTTAATTGAGCGCCATCGGTTAGCACATCGATCAATCTTCAGAGATAGATTCTCAGTAACCCTTTACTGACGTGATTATCTCCGATAACACATTGCGCTACTCATATCAACAGCTTTATACGAGATGTGAATGAAGCCGACTTGACCTGGGAAGATCGACTAGCTAAAAAGACGTACGATCAGCTGTTCAAAGACCTTGCTCTATGTGATCTTTCACGTTGGAAGGAAGGAAAGGTGAGTGTCTTGACTGATGTCGTGCATTTTTACAATATAGGCCTGACGAATTATGGGGTGGGGATGGAGAGGACTTTGGCAGATTGCAATGCGTTGGAGAACCTCTGGGGAAGTGTTAGATGGTAAAGGTGATTCAACTTGCTCCAATTTGCGCTGCAAACACCACACCCCCAAATCTAGCGTAACATCGACTGAGCTTGGTCAACAGCATGCTTTCATCTCACTCGACGATAACCCACCTGCTTCTAAACCCTCAGTGGCTTTACAAGTAATGCAAACCCAATTTGGCTATGTAGAAGACGGGACTAGGAAGATGGCAGAAGTAAAGCTGAATCTCTGTCGGAAATGCGCCAAGAAGATGAAGGCTTGTGCTAAACCTTCGGATTCGGTGGTGCCGAGGCCATCTTCATCTTCACTCCTCACCTCCCATTCGACTGACAACGTTCGTCAAGATCCTGATAGCTCAGTCGGTGATCACCCGGAAAAGACGAACTTCTCGCGACCTCGAAGGAAACGCTCGCGATCGGTCAGCCCACGTCGGCATAAGTCTCGCTCAAGGAGTCCTCGACGCGAGATCTCGTCGACATGGCGTACACATTCTAGATCGCCCACTTCAGCTCAAACTAAGACGCTCAATTCCCATGGCTCTGAGGAATCATCACAACCCAGCAGTCGTATTCAGTTGGACAGTCTTAAACAATCAAAATTCGAACCTTATCGATCAACTATTGCGCAATGGCGTCAAAGAAGTCCGACTTGAACCACAGCCTGATAGGATTTTGCCTTTCAAGTCGGCGCAAATGATATTTGCGGTCAAGCGTGTTGATGTCAAATGTATAGTCTCTGTCATTGTTTTGATTGTCCATCTGGTAGGTCCGCCAGGTGTGTGCTTGCGTAGACGCAGGAAGGCCTTCTAGGTCAAAGGACTTTGATCAGTACAACCATCTGTATCATTGTTTAAAAGCTCATAAATCAGCTTTTTATTTTCTTAGTGACTTGAAATGAAGCACATTTTTATAATCTGGTCGTGCCATTAATCAAAGTTGATAAGCCTTGATATTGGCTTTCTATTGATTTCCAAAGCCTTTCAGGGATATCATAGGTCGTAGAGTTATTGATGTTTATACAATCGACTCACTTTTGATGACAATCATCAACTTGACCACGATTTCCCTTCTGATCGGCTTTTAAGATTCTTCAGCAAACAATGAGCATTGGGTTGACAGGATATGTACATACAAACTTCGTTACCCAGCATTCTGCGGTATATCTGACTTACTACTCAAGATGTCTTCAGAAATCAATACAGCCCTTTTGATTCTGAAAAACATCAAGGGGTTTCAAATTTTGATTCTTTTTTTTGTGCGATTTTATGCTATATTCAACAACTTGCCCGTTGTTGAGTAATATGCGGAATTTTTCTGCTGAGCAGATATCTCAAATGTCAAATGCTTAGGTGTCAACCATTAGCTTCGGGGCCGCCTATCTCCGGGTTTAGAGGCTGTCACAGCTTGGACGGGGCTAAACCTACCCGTCATAACTCCCATCTTAAGGCTTGAAATAGCTTCGGAGCTATTCCGGGTCAGAGCCTAACTTTTTCTCGCAATCGGCTTGGCATTTCTATCTGTTTACTAGCTCATTACTATGCCATGAACTTGGTGCGTTGAAGAGCCGGATTCAATGCTTCAAAGATAAGTATATTTTGTACAACATGGCTCTCACTGGCTCTCATTGGCTCTCAACTGCTCTCATTCTATCTACATGACCCATGTCAAACCCTTGAGGATCACCCATAGAAATGGGCATTCCCACGTGGAAGTCTACTCAAAACACTTTGAAGGAGTATGGAGATGAGTGAGTAGGTTATGTATATAGCCAGCTATGAACCGCCGTTCTTCCCCGATCGAATGATTAAATCGTATGGATGAAAAGAATTGATATAGAAAATTGATACATAATAACGTTCAATTTGGAT